TGCTTATTGGACTATCAGTATCTGATTTTGGACAACGCTTTTCTTGTTCATAAACCTGGAATAAAAAAAGAGAAAGTGCAAATGTCCATTTTTAGTCCTTTGGTACACGACACGTACCTGTTAGTGAAACATTTTATTGTCTCAGAACTTCGTGCGTTGTACGGTAAAAGGGCAGGCTGTTAATCCAGCACTGTGCCCTAATACAGTGTGTAATATGTATATATTTTTCATACAGGGTCGGCCTTGGGCATTGCGAGGCTCCGGGCGGGCAGACCTTTGCGAGGCCCTTGTCTATGTGGAATTATTTTAATAACGACACTTGACGAGAAATTTAGAATTTTAAAATTGCTTATTGGAAACACAAAAATAACAAATTAATAATCATGAATCATTGGATTGTTGAGCGAGTGCTCGAGGACCCTGCAAGAAGCGAGGTCCCGGGCGGTTACCCCGCCCCCAATGGCCGCCCCTGTTTTTTATGTGAGAATGAAAAAATTAATAAAAAACAAAGATTGATTCTTACAATTTTTCCAATTTTGCAAAAAAACGGCGTGAGACTTGAAAGGTCGAGGATCTACAAGACTTATTTTTAGCCACTCCTTCTATTTGTGTAAAAATTAGAATTATCAATATTTATAAACTAATTAATTAATACGTACAATTTATGCTAAACATTAATTATTGTGTATTGTAATATTATTATTCATTCCAAAGTGCGAAATCTCATACTAAGGATTAAGGTATATTTTCTCACCATTCCTGGAGGTTTTCAATGAAATCTTGCAAATAAGGATATGTGTACTGTTATTTATTTTTAAAAATTATTATGACACAATTTGCCCCTTTATGAGAACTGCATGATTTTTGAGACAATGTTCAAAGGAACGCTATGATGGAGATGATTTACTAAAACTTGCCAAGCGTACTTACGAGAAACAAGGTTAAAATTTTTTTTGTTGCATTATTAATTATTAATAAATGTTACTGGAATTCCTTTGCGCTTGTTGCCCTTACTAATTTATTCGATTGCATCTACCGTATGCGAAAGAGTGTTCCTTGGCATAGTGAATCTCAAAGCATATGTATACAGTATGCGAATTACCGTTTCGTAGAAATGTGTATTCGTACGTGTGCCTGCTCGCAAAACTTCTAATTGCCAGTTTTTATAGTGCTATTAACCTAGGCTTCGCAGATACAGAACTACCATCATTTCTGGGTTCATACGCTAATGATAAACCTAGTGTTTCAAGCTAGGATAATTTAATAGGACGAGGTTTCATTTTTTTGAACCAATAAGGAATTAGGATATATGAGAGTGGTTTTTCAAACCTAAGATAGCAAACGAAACATCCTGTATTCGATCTTGCATTACTGTCTTAGATCGACATGCTTTAGAGCAGTTTACATGATGCTAGGAAATGTGAATGAGTAATGATAAGGCAACAACATGTCCGTGTAGAAAAATGAATAGTGTTCATAAAAAAACACAATTCGAAAACTATGCCAATTTGCACTAGATAAATTATTGGAATTAACAGGTTTTGTTAGTAAAACGTAATAGGTCTAGACGCCAAATATGCTTGTTATTTTTAAGTGATAATGTATACTCGAAAACACGTAGTTAGCGGTCAGTGCTAGCGATGAGAGCGGCATATTATAACTTAAGACCAAGATCCGCACTTTCGCATGCGGTATAGTTTATATTTACGTATTTAAAGAATTAGCTCACTTGTTCTTGTTTTCCAATTAAGTAAATATACAATAAGCATTTTAAATTGTTTTTGTATATTACACTATCTATATCCTATACTAAACAAAATATGAGTTACTTTTCAATACTCGTTGAACTTAATAATAAACAGGTGGTAATTGTTTACTAGAGATTCTTATTTGGTCTTGCTCAACAATTTATTGATTGATTTTTCTGAACATATTATGGTCATAGTGGTGATTAAAATTTCGCTGGGTATTAGGTGAAACAATGGTATAAATTAATAAAAACACTTGGTTTTTGTTTCAAAAATATATTAAGATTGCGCTTACATATGTTTCAGTCGCTTGAACATTTTCAAAGAAACACTATTTAGTGCTTGAAAATGACCAAGCGATTGAAACATATGTAAGAGCAATCTTAACAACTAAATATTTAAAACAAAAAGCAAGTGTTTTTATTAATTTATTTATTTAGTTATATTGTGATCAAATGTACCTTTCGTTTGCCACCACTCTCGTCTGCAGCAAATCGAACTTTTCGAGGGAAAATTTTAGGAAAATACATATTATATTGTTATGTTCCGCATTCTTATTTAATGAATGTAGAGTAGGTACTAAGACTTTTTGTTATTATTTCCGAATTGTTATTTAATGAATGTAGAGTAGGTACTAAGACTTTTTGTTATTATTTCCGAATTGTTATTTAATGAATGTAGAGTAGGTACTAAGACTTTTTGTTATTATTTCCGAATTGCTATTAGGTATTTAAATATGTAGATGGTATTAAAAAATGTAAAAAATAAATAAAATGCACTCACCCTACTGATCATGAATATTGAACTGGAATTTCTTGAATGTGGCCGATTTCTCCGAAACCCCCATTACCCTTCTTCGATCCTTTTTCGCACTTTATTCCGGCTTAATACATACTGGTCATTAAATAATAACTAATTTACTTATCACTGCATTAATTTTTTGTTACCATACTGTATTATGTTGAAGATTTAACTGCATTCACCGAAAAAATATTATTGATGAAAAATTAGATATCAAGTCCAAATACTTTTTCTTCATATAAAGGATCCCAAACTCATTTATTGTTGTGGACGGGAATTGCATTTCCTCAATTCCTTATTAAGGCCATAAAAACGGTTATACCGCCGTGCCTCGGTCGTCAGAGCCTCGTTTGTTATCTAGCAGGGTGTACCGAATGGTTTTACTTTAATTGTTATTAATCGTAAAAACATTACTCGTGCAGGTGAGGTTGACAGTTGGGTCGCTATTTTATCAATTTTAATTCGACCCCTTACACCCCTTCCTTAAAATACCTACTACTTTTTTTTTCCATTTATTTTATATTAAGTAGGTATAATTCAACGTCCAATTTTATCTAAAACTCCGTGTAAAGTTAATTTGCTCAGAAATGACTTACGCGTTTAAGCTGCTAGACAATCTATTGATAAACGTCACGTCATTATCATTAACAATTCATCATTTGTTTTGTAGGTAATATATTGAAATGTATCAAAGAAAAACTTCACGAAAAACACAATAAATAATAAGTAAATTTTCCGAGAAAGATTAAGATATAATAATGGAATGCGCGTGATATTATTGATACAGTACACTTAAAATTAAATAAATTTTGCATTACAGCTTATGATATACTAATGTAGAATAAAATTAGGAATTATTTTCGGTTTTAATAAAACTGGAACTGCCTCAATATTTTGACGTGAATTATAATGTACTTGATAATTAAATAAAAGGTAGACGGCGGTCTCTGGTGGCTATCGGTAGGAGTTAAATGTTTCAAATTAGATATTGAACGACATCTAGTAATGAAAAGCATAAATAGGCGAATGACAGTTATATGATAGGTAAGAAAATCATAGAAAATAATCGATATAATAATATGACAACTAACATGCAACTAACCTAACCTAAAAAAAAGTGAAAATTTTAGTGTTTATTACTTACATTTTTACTTAAATTTTAATAAATTTCTTTTCTATTTTATAATGTCTGCTCTTTTAAACAGTCTTAAATTACCAAGGCAATGTCTAAAAACTAAATCGGCAGCTTGTACTTCCATCAGAAACCGTAAGTTTTAATGTAGTAGTTAGTCCACACATTACATAATTTAATTCTTACCAGATTGGAATAAAGATTATAAGCCAGCATCCCATCCTCCTAAAACTGAAGAGGAACGTATTGCAGCTGCTAAAAAATATGGCCTTCTACCTTCTGAATATAAAACATTTCCTGATGATGGAACTGGATATGGTGATTACCCTAATATTCCAGCAGAGTCTGGGGAATCTCGAGACCCATTTTATCCTTGGGACAATCCCGAACTAAAGCGAAATTTCAACGAAGTTGTGAGTATTTAATAAATATTTCAAACTATTTGCTAAAAACTTGTACCTAATGATATTTTTATAGTTGCATGTTCAAGCTGATATGATTGGAGAAGACCGTGTTGATGTCAATCTTAGACTTCGCAAGTCTAGAACTAGACAATTTACTGAATTCTTTGGAGTTATGTCTATTTTGTATGCCATATATTATTGGCTTGAGGATAAGAAAATGTTTCTTCCTTTGCTCCCTAAGCAGTACCCAGGAGAAGGCAAACATTATACATTTGAGCCAAAATCCTAAGAATACAAGTTTTTATTATTTAGAACATAAGTATAAAGTGTATAATACATATATCTTAGCATTTCGTATAGAAAGATGTAAACTATACATGTTAAAATGGTTATTATTTTAACAGAAAAGCTATCCCTCTGCTTTAATAGTGTAATAGGGTAAATAAATTAATAAAAAAGGACAATTCAATTTAAAAACGACGTATTAATTTGCGTAAACCAGACCATCATATTTACCTTTTTGCAAATACTAACAAGCAGATACTAGAAAATGAAAATAAGAAATATTTCAACTAACATTTATTATTTAGGGAAAAGAAATTACATTTTCTTCAGTTTTTCAAATCTATGAAGTGTCCTCAATACTCCTGTCCACTTCTGAATCGACAAGGTTTGAATTCGTTTCAAAAATTTCTCTGAAGGGTAACACATCTATACTGGTGCTGCTCACACTTATACCATCTTCACTAGTGCTATTGGTGCAGCTCACGTCTAACTTTCGTTTCTTTATTGGCTCTTCATCAATATCCTCTTTGGTACAATTCAAAAGAATATTGTTTGAGCATTCAGAGTCGATACTGGTACAAGTATCTGCGAATACTGTTGTTTGTAACGAAATCTGTTGTTCTTCATTACCAGAAAATTCGTTTTCTTTATTTTCACAGAACAGAGATGAAGAATCTTGACCAAAACCACCTATATCATAATGAGAAGGCAAGACGTTGGTATCGTCTTTATTCAACGCATTTTCTAGTGAAAAACTTCCTACGTCTTTATCACTGTCTGCAGTGTTAAGAATATCGATCTCCATTACAGACGGTTCACCTTGATTCTGACCAACAAAGTTGCTAACATCATCATTGGATTTTAGCAAATGTTCACCAACATTCTCGAGGACTGCACTGTTTTGTCCCTGGATTTGTATTTCACGCACATCACCTAATTGACCGTTCTCGTCTATTACCTGATATTGTAATGTTCCACCTCCTGATAAATTCTGGATCAAATCATCAGTTACCCCCACAAAGTTCCCGTCACTGGTTCGGAACATAATCTCCACGTTTCCGTTAATCTCATTACCGAGAATGTTCTTTATTTTATCAGAAACGTCATCTAATTTCATTATGGAATTCGCTGAAAGGTTCACGAAGGGATCACTGTAAGTTTCCTTGCCTTTTTGGTCCATTTGGGAGGTTGCTGTGGTCAACACTGGGGGATTGTTCAGGTTGGAGAAACCTACCATTTGAATGGGAATTGTTGGCATGTTACTCAGATTTTCGAAAATCGCTTCTTCAGCGTGTGGAATGAAGTTTTCTACAGTTGTTTCCGTGCAAGATTCTTCGATGACGAAGGAATTTATTCTGGGGGTATTAGCTAATTCTTTCTGGAGAGCCTCAAGAGCTAAACGACTAGCAGCTGCCTCTTTAGCGCATGCTTTTTCTGCTTCCGATCTAATCGCTTTTCGTTTAACTTTCTTGTATAAGTAAGAGTCATTAATAGGGTTCTTGTAAATTTTATACGAGTTCGTCATTGGAGGGTTGAACTGTCTTAACGCGTTCGTGTACTTTGGTTTTTTCGAAATAAATAAGGGAGGTGTTATTTCTATTATACCTAAAAGATTAACGCCGATTATATGCATAGTATATTAAATGGAAATATAGTTTAGAATTGTGAAAGAATGGAAATATATATTTTTTAACACAATTGTTTTTTCTTACTGGCTTCATTTTGAACTTCTTTGCGATCAGATACTAAAGCTTGAAGTCCACGCATTTGGAAAAATTTAGCAGCAGCAACAACGTACCTAAGATTCTCGTTTAAAATATTCGTTTCACCGCAATACATAAATTCTATAATTGACTTAACTACTGTGAAATCCAAACCGTTTATTAAAATTTGCTCGACAGAACAATTCTTTTCAAGTTGTTCCTGCAATGAAATAATGACAATGGCATTATTAATATTCTACGTTATTTGTTTTGTAAGTTCACCCTAAAATATGGACTATTTGCTGCAAGGACGCATTTATGTGCGTGAATTGTATTTGGTCCGCAACAGATTGCTACATCTACCAAACTTTGGTGTTCCATCAGTGAACAGAACACGGTACAAATATGTCTTGCGTGGGAATCCCACTGCACGCAATACCTTGTCGTTTTTGTTACTTCAGGTTGTTTGTTCATATTTTAAAGAGGTAAATTCAATCTGAAATAACAAATAGAATTGATTCTAAGTACTACAATTTAAAATATGTATAAACTATTTTTATGCAAAATAAAGCATTATAAATGTTGCAAATGAATATATACACAACATTTACTTACCGTTTAAAAATTAAGTTACTTTTTTCAATTAATAAATATTATATACTACTAAAAACTAGGAAAAATAGCACGATTTTGCTGATTGGACGAATGCACTTTAATTAAAAGTCGTTAATGTCGAACAATGTTTTCGAAAACAAGTGTGATTTGTCTCATGACACAGGCTCCTTTGATACTTAAAAACTATTTAAGCCTAAAAGTTGTGTTCATTTTCTTTTAAAAAATTACAACTACTACAATGTTTGCTTATTTATAACATTTAAACAAATAGTCATACTTTTATTATAGTAAACAATATTTGGGATTAATTTATGTTAGTACAATTTTAATGTTTATTTATAAAATAAGAGCAACTTATTTTTATGAAGATTAAATACTGGATAAAAATACACATTCAACAATTTTTCAGATTATTTATTTGCAAATAAAATATTAAATATTAAAAAATTGAATAATCTGTTTCGAGCAATGTGTGTTCATTTTTAAATTTGTTAGTTTCACAACTTAAAAAAAATACTTTAGTTAATGATTATTAAATGCAATTATATACAGAGAAATTAACAAGAGGTAGGTAGTTTGCAATTAATTTTAAGTATATTATAAAATACGTTTTTTCCCGTATTTAATTATAATATTCACAACTTACACTTCAAATTTATCACACATGAATTTGCCTATATCAAAAAAGTGGTTTAATTATGTATAAGATTAATTCGCACTTTTTAAATTTGTTTGGCACTAATTAGTGGCAGTGTTTCTATGTTCAAGTAATATTCGATTCAACCGCTTTTTCGAATTTTTATTTATTTTCAATCTCGTAGCCAATGAGTTAGTTTTTAATTTATTCGTGATTTCTGATCAATTATGAATAAATTAAAAAATAATTCAGTCTTAAAATAAAGTATCTTGTACATTTTATTGCTTTAGATTAAGTATTTATTTTTCACTTATTAACTGAAAAATTAAAACTATTGGCTATTCTCTTATAACGAACAATACATCTTGAATGGAATAATTCAATATTACCAAATTATTCGAAAAATTCGGTTGGACTTATCCGTTATTATAATAATTCCATCTACCCTATTTCATGCAGCTATTAATTCATTTAATGCAAACAATAATTTAATAAAGTTTAAACCGCGATTTTGATATAAGCATTGGAACAAAAATATATATTATATGTATAATAGCCACATTAATTTGAAGTGCACATTAATTTTACAATTCCAGAGCGATTAGTATTACATCCATCAATAGAAGCTTACTAAAAAGTTAATTTTATGTAATAATGTAATATAATACTTCGGTTTCCTTGTTCAATTACAAAAAAATACGTTAAACATCGAGTATATCATGCATATTATTACGTCCAATTGGATTATGGATTAAAGCATAGTACTAGCATATAATAGGTACGCAGATTAGATTGGCGATTTGAGATTGTAAAGTCACAAAATTAATTAACAGCTTTGCTTCGTTTCTTTTCATTTTTTAACCTGTTTAAAGCTTGGAAAAAGTCGACAAGCGATTAATAAAATATTCGTGTACTTTTCATTTTACTCTTGTTTGTTATACTATTCCGTATAAACTTACAAATTACAATCACAATTCCTTCATTAAGGATAATAATAAAATTAAATACTTGGAATGACTGAAACATAATATTTTTAGTATATATATATGTATAATATATATGCAATACAAAATAAGCTTTTAGAGTATATTTAAAATAGAGAGTTTCTTGTCAAATCAAAAATGTGCTGAACGTATTTCTCATTTAGAAATTACGATAATTAAGTATTGTACTTTATATACATAAGGAAGTCAGATAGGTCAGGATGAAAAATACTGCAGAGGGCGCTGTGAAAGTCATAAAGGAAAGCAGAGACAGGATGGTAGGGCTTTTGAGGTATGAAGGGCCAATTAGAGACTTATTACAAGCAGAAATCTAGATTAGATTATTGTTTGTAAATATGTAGTTAGAGATGAATAATATGAAGATTGGGTCAGAATAGGGACAAGTGGAGGTGCGTGTTCAACCAGTCTTTGGACAGACAACCTTGTGATGTTAAGATGATTGAATAACTTTTGATATGCACCATTTTGACATATTGGGACTATTTCATAATAGATTTCTTTTTAAGTTACATGCTTGAAGTTTTACGTTGGAATAGACTAGCGGTGAGAGAAAGAGAGAGCATAAAGGGGAATCAGTAATTACAGAATTTCACCCTAATTGTGGAAGGTACATTTTATTTTAGTTTAGCACATTTTTGAACATGTATTCGAGAAAATATATTGGATTGTTGTTCTATAACGTATAGTATTATACTACAATACTTACGTTTTCTTTTAATGTCACGAAGACAAGGAATGTTATCGAAAAAAGAAAAAAAATATTCCACAGCCTATGAAAATAACAAACTTACAACTAAGGCGCGTCATTCTTCTGAAAAGAGGAACTCGCTTTCAGACAGAAGGACTTCTAAGTCAGATTGGACGGTATGTATGTTGGAATCGATGTCGTCAATTGGTTTATTATTATTATTAATAACATTATTATTAGAATTCGGTTGAAGAGGTGGAGTTAAAGGCAAAGGAGGAAGATTGGGACTAGCTACGGTAACGCCAATTTGGTTCGATTTTAAATTAGACGCGACTGCCGTCTTCGATTTCTTCTCCTTCCCGCTATGTATAAGGAGACCCGTTCGTGGTTTCACTATTTTAGGATCCTTTTTCTTGATCGCGTTCTCTACACCCGATTTCAAAACGGCACTGATTTTATCCGGTTTACGTAACTTTACACTGAACTTGAACGGAGGTTTATAAACCACTTGGAGGCGGACCTTTTCCTTATCGTGAGCTATATTACCAGTACTATGAGCTTTCGTTTTATCCGATTTGTATTTCAAACGTCCTCCGTGTGAGGGCTTGTTGTTGTTGTTAGTTTTATCAGTGGTTAAGTTTGCTGGAGTAGATTTCGACTTTGGCAAAACTAGCTGGGATTTCATAAGCCAGTTTTGAACTTTATTGACTGGATCCGCCGTTGGTGGTGATAAGGGATTGTGAACTTGATCTGTTGCTGTGTTAACAAGTTCTTTCTTGCCATCACCATCGCCACCCTGCATGCAACTGTAATCTATTACCTTTTTCTTTTTCTTACGATTCTTTGATTTATGCAATGGAGACAGTTTTTTGGTCTTATTAGGAAGAGCCGCTCCTGTTATTGTTCCTGTTTCCGGAATTACAATAGTATTTTCCGTCTTAGTATTCTCTTGTTCTTGCACCGCTTTTGTTTGAACGGTCGCTGCCGTTGTAACCGACGTTTTCTTACTGTTTGATGACTTTTTCAATTTTTTAGTGTTGTTCTTTTTTATTTTTCCATCTTGCGATCTGTGTTTCTTTTGAATTTTACCATTATGAACTTTACGTCGAAGAGGGAGCTTCGATCGAAGGGCCGGATGTACAGTGACACCGTCCGCTGTTTTTGGCAAGCGGATATTTTTTCTTTTCGAAGAATGCATTATGGTTACCTTTTTTAGTTTTGTTTCGGGTTTTTTACCGAAAAGTTTGGTGCTTAAGACCTACAGATAAAAAAGGGAAACGAATTCAGAAAATGACAGTACTAATTTTGCCAGAAAAAGCTTTATAATTCAACGATCCACCTCTGGATTTAAAAAACTACTTATACGTAGCCATCTACCAAACTGAGTTTCAGGCCTACATAAGGATTGGTTTTTTTTGTATAAAAAACTTACGTTTCTTTAAGATACAAATGCTGAAAGTCAACTTCATCTTGACAGAAATAAAACGGTTATAATTCAAAATAAGAAAGATCAAAGAAACTTTCTAAACTTACCAGTACAGTTATCACAGCAAAAACGATTAGTGCTACAGCATACCAGTAATCCATTACCCATTTCCTGAAACTAGCAATGCTCTCTTCGGAGAGCAATAATTTTCTAAGCGTGGCGAGTGGTCCCGAGGGATCCACTTCGCGGCACTTCTGGAAAACATCACAGTAGCCGTTGTAATTATTGCACGGCGTTCCAGGTTTGGAATACATGTCTGGAACATCATATGGCGTCTCGTTCCAATCAAAAGACGACTTGCATGGTTGTTTCTCGCCAGGAAGTTTACAACAAAGTTCGCAAGCTTTCGTTTTTGGATCGTTCGGGCCCGGAATACACTGACAAGACTCGAGGCCGTATGCCAAACAAATGGAACCAGTACATTCCTACAACCCCCAAAGGGAACCATAAATACGAGGTTAAAAGGAAGAAGGAACGATCGAACGGATCAATGGATAGCTTAGTAAAGAAAGAGTAAGAACAAATGTAAAGGAAAAAGTTGGTTACAAAATTATACAATGAAGCGAACGATAGATAAATAAAGTAAAATGATACTCACTCCCATAAAACAGACAAACTCTTGGTTACAGATAGTTTTATTAGGTTTATTAATTGAAGGGGGACAATGTGCACTTCTACCATTGCAGAAACTGGCATCCCTGCAACCATTATCGTCCCTACATTTATTACCGAACTTCACTTGACAGTCGGCAGAACAACATGGACCCTAAAATATATAAAGCAGCTCTAGATAAAGACCTTTAGGTAATATATGGTAATTACCTGGGAAGGACTACAAACACTTCTTGGTGTTAATCTGCAAGGAGGTTCGTCTAGAGGCGGATATCTTCTTTGCGGATAACAACATTGATCTCTACAATCTTCTTCCCAACCGCAATCACACTCCTCGCCCTCTTCCACCACCCCGTTTCCACATATTGACTTTTGCGGTTCTGCAATAAATATTTTGATTTCGGGATCATACATCAATAACAATCGATATTTAATAAATACCAGCAAAGCATCCTTTAGAACTGCGAGCTTTAAAATTAAGAACGGGATTTATACTATTTATGCTGCATTGCGAAAATTTGTTGTTATTTTTTTTGTCCCCAGACGTCGCTCTCGCAAACATAATGAAGTTACCGTCCTCACCTCCAGGAGTGCATCTTTCGGGATCGTGCTGTGTAGGTACGAATAATTAAAATTATAAAATGTGGCAGCTGTAAAAACGATATGAACTTACAGGCGAGCCAAAGTTATGACCTATTTCATGTGCTAACGTCACATGAGATACTGCTGGTGGCACATGTTTGCCATAATTGAGCAATGTAACTATACCCGTATTTAAAGACTTCATGCTACCCCTGTAATGCTAAAATTCAAAAATATGGTACAATAAAACTTTTAATGAACGATATTGTTGTTTTGGTGTATTAGGAATTAGGTAATTAAAGAATTGATGTACTTGTATGCAACATACCCCATTCTTTTCACAGACGCCCCCCGCATTTTTCAGATCTCCTGTCCATGCTAAACCCAATGTACCCATTTCGAAGTCGCGATATGTAAACATATACGCCAGGCAAAACGCATCATAATCCTCCTCTATAAGATAAATAATATTTTTTTAATAATTCATGTAGGCCGACAAAAATGATTTTTAAATTGGAATACACAAATACATTATTTTACTCAACGAATTATTGATATCATTATTTACAATCAAAATGATTTAACTCGTTAATTTTTACAAAGTTTCAAAGCAATAAACTAGTTTGATATTACGAAGTAAGTAATAAAAGAAAAATCACGCCCTCAATTTCTTATTTTCTTTTCCATTTATCATTCGAAGGTGAAAAACAAAATGACAAATGTTAAATAGAAGGCGTTACAAATGTGAAATCCGTGGGAAACAACATGTTGTCATATTAACAGATATATAAAAAGTGACCAACTCTGTTAAACCTTTCAGATTTATAAAAATGTTGGCCAAAACATATTTCGTTGCTTTCCTTTCATTTGTCTTATATTTTGTAAGTAATTGATAAAATGCTAATTAATCATAATAAAATTATATGCAAATTATAATAAAGATTTGTAAAGGTCTTTTATGGTATAGGTTTTTGGATACGCTGTAATACCTGCAAAATATTGCACCAAATTACCAAAGACCTTTGCTTCATGTAGAATGAACTATATTTGGAATGATAGCAAACAAGACTTTGTATCAGTTCTAGATCGATCTCTTAATATCGATTCTGGGTATGAAGATCCAAAATCTTTAACTTTAAAGGCAGCTGCAACTATGGTATGCATCTAAGTCATACAATTAAAATTTAAATACAAACTAATTATACATTTTAAGCAGTTAATGCCATACATTTCAATACTTAATAACAAAACAACTGGATACGTTGGAGAACTTTTTGACACTTTGCAAGAAATGATAGGATTTAAGTAAGTACAAAATATTTCTTTATAAGTGGCATAGGATGAAATTAAAAACTGTTTATGTAAGGTTTGAATTGAAAGCAATGAACTACGACATTGGTTTAGAATCAATTGAAAATGGTTCTGCAGATATAATGTTAAGTGCTGCAATTAGTAAAGGAGGATTATATAACGCGAAGTTTATGCAACCATATATTATAAATTGGTATATTTTTTTAAACTGACATGCTTTGAACACGTTAGTATTTTAAAGGCATAATTTAAGGTACAAACTGTATTTTAAAAGCTTTGGAAGGCAACCGACTTCAATGTATTACTATAGCACTTTAGCTCCTGCTACTTGGTTTCTTAGTGGGGCAAGTGTTATACTTTTATGCATCATTTTGTGGGCAACGCTGAAACTCCTGGCTAGAGTAGAAAAAAGGCAAAGAAATGTATCACTCGCAAGTTGTTTTATAGCAACTATAAGTGGATATTTAAACCAAGGTAGTTGCAATCAAAATTATATTACTGAGTACTGTTAGTAAAATGGAACTAATTCTACTGGGAAACTGCATATGTTTTAGGTTTTGAACTTAGGGTGAAAAATATTTCTTATAGAATTCAAACAATGACAGCCCTTTTATTTGGCTACATAATCGCAACTGCTATTAATGCCAATTTGGTGGCGAAAATAACAACATCGTATGAATATTTTCCGATTAAAGCGATTGAGGAATTAGAAAATCAAGAGCAATATGGTTTGTGCATTCGAACTGACAGCTTCGTATATAATAATTTTTCACATTATGTACGTGTCTTTTGTATTAGTATTATAACATTTTCATAATTTGAATGGTGACTACTATGAGCAAATAAATAAAAATTTTAGGTAGGTGGTCAAAAAATCCTTTCAGACAAATGGATAAATGTTGTAAACATACCAGAATGTGGAAATATTAATAAGCGTGGTGATCTTCTTGCTGGCCTTTGTAAAGATAATTTGCTATTTTTAGAAAATGTTTTGTTAATGAACCATATTTTGGAACACAATTCTATTCATTGTCAAATGGCAGAATTACCGCAGAAGTTATTCAAAGCAGGAAATTCAATAATATTAAACAAGTTTGTAGATCACAGGCTCAACAACACTTTAAATGTAGCGTAAGTACCTTTTCTATCATTAATAAACCATATTTTTATGATGTTCTATTGCTAGATAGGTACCTCCAAATATTGGAGTCTGGTATACGCAACCGAATAAGTAACCGATGGTTGCACAGAAAATTGAGGGAAGACAATGAAAAAGTATTATCTCCCGTCACTATGCAACATATGAACGGAATTTTCGTATTGAATGTCTTTTCTATATTTGTCAGTTTACTGGTTTTGTTATTTGAAATACTGATCTTTAACTTAAGCAATAATTCAAAATCTACAACACTAAAAACTGGAGGAAAAGAAATTATAATACTCAAACCATAATTTTATTTATACGTTACTGCACTTTGCTGTGTGTTATAGAATCATTTTAATGTCTTGTATTAAATGCTTTGAGTTTTTTTGTGTGTGCAAATATTTTTATGATACTATAGTTACCTTTGTTCAAAAGTTCAGAGCACAATAAGAAAATAAACTCACCTGAGAAGAGTTCTAAAAATTTCTCAACTCCGTAATTTCCAGGAAATCGATAGAGTGGATCTCTAAGAGCATCCGTTGTATGGACTTTTATCCGTTTTATCATAAATGATATATTATCCGGTTTTCCATCTTGATTAAAATCTATGAAAGAATAGCAAGCATAATCAATTATTCCCATCATCCACACGGTACGAACTTTTTACCTGTCACTTTATAAATACTGTTAACCCTTTGGACATGCCTCGTCATAACTTCGATGCAGGCTTCTTCGGAGCCATACTTTTGAAAAAAATGGTGATCAGCTTGGAGGTAGAGCATGCAAGTGGTCTTTTTTGGATCTATGGTGGTACGTTTATTTCGAAACGTATCGAACGAACTGAGTGCACTGGCGGTCATTTCTTCATCGATTGGGTGTACATTGGTATCGATCATGGGAAACAGGGAAGGTGTGTCGATAGGATTGGTGGAATACTTTACTAAATCAATGGGAACTTTCCCTTCTCCGCTCAAAACCCATCTTTTGGTCCTGTTAAGTTCGTTGTGTGAAGTGTTAACGGCTAGGCCGTGTTGTAGTAGGTGTGAGGCACAGGGAACGTTTCGATGCGGATTTTCGACATCTTCAGTCTTATATATGACCGAGTGAAATGTCGGTGTCTCTTGACTTTCGTCAGAAAAATTGAGGTATCTACTGACTGGTTCGATGTAAAAATTCTCTAGTGCTGTCGAAATCATGCCATCGAATAGGCCTTCTTTCGTTATGACCCCATGCACCGAAGCGTTTTCTTCATCTAGGGAAAAAATCCAACTTTACATAAAGTGGTTATGGTTTAAATGAAAAATGAAATAGGTACAAATTTCTTAGATAAACTACAACTGATTTTTTTAACGTCAGGATAGCCTTTACATGAGGTAAATTTAATTAATTCTTTTATAAGACGGTGTTTTATAATACTTCAAGGCTGTCATACAAAAAATCGTTTTAAAAATTTACGAACACGAGCTCCTTAATATGGCATGAATAAGCTAGTTAAGACAAAAGAAAAGAATGAAGCCAAAAGGAAATGTGCGAATACGTTCTACGCGAAGATTCCGCTTAATTTGAATTTATAGCCCTTTATAATGAACAAAGATATAGAACACTTTCCTGTTTAAAGTCCCCTAAAATTACTAAGGAAAGTTCATTTCGGAAAAAAAAAATGCTATAGAATTAGGGCAGAAAAGAACAATAAAAGTGTACTAGATAAAATCGTTACATTCCAAATTACATAAAGGCAAAAATGATTAATAAAAACAATGAATTAGTCATTTCCAAGTGATTCTTTTGTAATACGTTACCTTCCAAACTCCCAGAATATGCAATATCATTTCTAAAATCCAAAGGTCCTGCTTCAGACTCCACATGGACATCTTCAGTGAATACTTCCTTGTCAGGAGTCAAACGAAGTCGGAAAACTCTGCAATAAAATATTTTATCGTCCATTTTTATGCATACAACATAATAACTCAAACAAATTATAAAAACATTATTGACATTTTTAAAAAACCGGAAGATTGCTTTTACTATTAATTAAATATTTTTTGCCTTAAAACTGGTATCGATTGATATGCATAGATATTGACAATGGTGCGGCGCAATTTCCAGCAATTTTTCCAATTCCATTGTGTTACACAAATAAGCACATCATTATTAATTAAAATAAGGAACAGTTTTCATAATTCAAGGCTATTGCAAAACAGGAAATTACAGATTTCTAACTCAATACACTTGGAGAGTTCATGAAAGATTGAAAGAATCATTTCAACATAAAGCAATAGTTGCTATCAAGTAAAATAGTAAAATCTTATTAAATTATAAAATGAAAAGATAACTTTTAAACAATCTACAATCCACTAATTGTAAGACATAAATGAAGAAATGTAACTTCTATTACCTGGAAGCCAGGTGGGTAATTAGTTTTACATTCTATTTCTAATTTATTTTTATATATTTGTAATTATTACATATCTTATAAATCTGGGTTATGGTTTTAAATGCGATTTCACTAATGAAATGAATGTATGTAATGAAGTATCTACTTTTACGAAATCGTGATAAAAGTTAAAAGCTACCACAAAATTCATCTGTTTATTATTTATATGAAGATACCTATTTATGTATATCATGCAATGTCTAACCAATGACATGGAAATAAATATTCTACAAAAAAAAATTAGGTGTAATACCTATGTAATAGACTATTAAACCTTCAATTCAGCTTCCTTTGGAGCAAAATATTACGGCGCTTTTTCAACAACGCTATTATAAAATCTTTTCTAAACTCGCAAAAAAAAAAACGAGAAAAACACAGTTTGCTGGTAATTGCTATGGCACCTATTTTACCGAGACAAATTATCAAAGGAGAAGGCGCTTTACCTTCCATGGCCTCTAATTTCCAGTTGAATATCCTGTTTTCGTGGAGAGGAGTTCCGACGATATCGATTCTGGTAATGCGTTACCAACGCAGAGGGATTATAACGGGCAGGCTCGTAATGTCTTATGAATGAATTTAAAAAAAAACCTGCGAATAATAGAGAACAGTTAAGACAAAAATTACATTATAAATGATAAGGGCGCCACTGGCATTAACTGTCCTTTATATTTTTAGAATTCTTAAGTAGATGTTTCATTCCCACCAGCTACTAATAATGGCAGTGGCGGATGGCCCTCTTCAGATTCGTTTTAGGAATCATGGGAATGGGTAGGTGGTGGTTGGAAAGAGAAATATGAGACGGACGAAATGAAGTGAAAGATTATTGGTGAAATATTATTACATTACACAGAAACCAGGGCAGAGGGATCCTAAATACCTGAATCGAATTAGGTTCACCCGAATGCTAAGCAAAGGTTTAAATTTCTGCCCATATCGCATATTGGATAGGTCAGAAGAATCCCGTCTGCCTCTTGTTATTATGTAAAAAAGTTTTTTTATCAAACATTACCTATGTAACTAATTTTTTGTTTCACTGTAGTAAGAAACAAGTTTATGGTAGATAAGTATATAAGTATACTCAATATGTATAGGTAGTATCTATTTATAATGAGAAATTGGGAAAATACTTAGGTACAAACTGCTTTTTTATTAATTAAACTTTTATTATACTGAAGTAAATATGAAAACATCAAATCAATAAATAGCCTTTAATGTGATATACCTATCTCTTCTTTTATATCAGGCAATGTTGGTGGACAGGGTAACTAGACTAAATCATAAAAGAAAAATATGCACACATGTATCCGTAATAGGTACTTATATGAAAATAATAACTTTCACATAAAGTTATATTACATAAAAGGCGAGACCTTCTTAATTGTGCTGACTACAGTTAACTGAACCAGAGAGACTATGAAACATCAAGTAGCTTTTATTTAGTTTTTTATAATTGCTTTCCCAAAATTTAACTTAATTTAGAAACAAAGTATGTAATTAAAAATTTACATAACTAAACTTTAATTTTCTGTAAATGGATTAAAACGGCTTCATTTCCTTCCCAGATTGAATAAATCTTTTAAACGTGTTACTCAGGTAACATGTGCATGCAAAATGTGTACACAAATAAGCTCATCAATGCTAATTGGTTTAAATCTTTAAATATCCAATATAGGTACGTAACCATTTTATTAGTAGGGCACTTATGTGTATGAAGAGCTGAACACTAATTTACTTAATATATTAAGTAATATCATAATGAATACCTTTCTGTTACGTATTTTTCTTTTATATTAATGAACAAACGTTAGCCCCAAAAATTCTTGTGATAATAATATTTACAGTATGTGCCAGAAAACTGAAGACAAAATATATACCTATCTGGATAATAACGTTCTGTTTTTATTATTTAAATTTTTACAAAAATATTTGTGAAGAGAGAGAGCAGAGCATACCAATTATATATGTTGAATCGTTTCGTTGATTTTAAACACGTTTGTTATGTTCTACGTAAAAGTTGAAAGGTGGTCAAAAACATGACAACCCAAAAATGCCATTGTCCAGTCAATTGTGTTGATACTGTAATTACTGGAAAGGTGACGCATATGTAGATAAAAATACAGGAACAAAGTACTGTAATTAATGGATTTAGGAAACGTTGAACTTTTAAAATTCGGTACAAAACCTCATTTAATAGGTGCCTGTATAAATAACGCAAATTGAAAAGCACAGGCTTTTCTTACGTTCTATAGATACCTGTATTTAATAATTATTTTAAAATAATCAATTAATTGTTTAAAATTGATAATTTTCCTCTTTTTCAAATATAAAGTACGTACTTATTTCCTACCGAAGAAGACTAAATTTTCACCAAATTGCAGATACTAGGCCAGACCAAAATTACAGACAAAACATAACTGATTTAAAAATTATTAAACATACATAGAAGGTAACACCTAATTTTTTTATTTAATATTTCTAAATTATATTTGAACGTTTCAGGATGTATTTAGGTACGCACTTTGCATACTTATCGTCATACTAATCACAGTTTGGACACCCTGTATAGGGTAATGTAAGAACAATGACATTAACATGAACAATGATTTATTATTTTAAGAGTAATAACCCTTGATTTAATTTATTTCTCCTACACCCACTTGCAATTTTCTTTTGTCAAATATCGCCTACATTTGTAAGCACACAATTTTTTGGAGGGCAACAGTAAATCCATTCAAGGTAAACGCACTAGGTGAACGACATTTATAAAATCAAATGAATTTCAAATAATTGAAAATACGACATATGAAATTCATTGACAAAACCAATTGGGCATTTGTTTATTTATAAAGTTACCTAATTCTATACGTCTATGTATGTTAGGTACCACATACATGATACACCTTTAAAAATGGAAGAAAAACAATTTCCTGTTTTTCCTAGGTACATATGCTAATTAATTGTGAATAACTTTGAAAAAGTAAAGTAAGTAGGTGATGAAATAAAAGGCCAAACCGTCTCGTGAAGGATTAATAACAGGAAAATGGTAATTAATAAACTGACACATCTCACCTTGACTGTATACGATAGGATCCAATGGCGATGCACTTAGCTGGATGAAATTGATCAGGACTAAAGAGATTATAACGATCCGAAAACCAGATATGAGCATTGTATCATTTCTCTATACGATAGCAAAACAATACACATATGTAATTAAATAAAGCCAGGTGACAATGTTCTCTAATTATTATGGACACCACGCTATGTCACTACACAATTGTTAATGAAAATACATCTTTTAAATGGAAATGCCGACACATACATTTCTTTTCACCTGTAGCACTTTTCGAATCCACATGAACATTGCCATTCATGTAGGTACCCTCGGTACCCCTGCGCTCTATGGCTAGTGTCAGTACTCAGTACTATTAACTAGTTAATACATCTACCTGGCTGTTTTGTTATACACCTTTCCAATGTTGTCAAATCAAACACTTTTTAATTCCAAGGCTGAAAACATCAATTTGTTTTCTTTCATAGGTGTGCTTTGAACTTTGTGGAAGTATTAAAATATAATTTGGAAATAACGTGTTAAAAATACATCAAAAATAATTATAAGCCTGTCTGTGTTTTTCCCACATTCAATAATTTGGCAACAAGATGGAATCCTAAATGCCATTGTCGTACGCACATGTCTGGCACAATATTGGTCAATTTATTCGGTAGCAAGGCGAAGATTTCCGATCAAAAATTTAAAAGATATTCGCGTCTTTTTGAAATAAATTTCTATCAATTCTATTTTTAGTTTCTCAAGAATCCATGCTAACAACCGTGTCCATAAAAAATTGTTTCGGATTCTTGAAAATCAACAAAAATTTTGCAATAAGCCTTAAAAAGAAATCTTCCATTTGATTTTAAAAATTACCATTTGATAACATTCTCCTAAGTGAATAAATTTATATCTGCCTAAATTTTATTTTAATTTTAATTCATATCAAACATCGAAAACATATTTAATATTAAAAGAAAACCGTAACTAAAACTAACGTTGGGTATCTATTTATAATGAGAAA